CCTTCTTTCATGCACGTGTGGACAAATCTCTACTTTGCACCTTTTTTGAAAGTTTCATAGGTTTGTTTGATTTGTTTCCATTCATTTGTGCCCTTTGACTTGAACTAGTTGGCCAGACCTTAGTGCTGGTTAGGAATCTAGTTAGGGAAATCCTTGTAGCGAACAATGGCTAGAACCCTTTTACTCCCAGTTGTATGTAGCATATGAACTGATTTAACGATATGAACATGTCTGTTTTCATATGACTTGTTGCTTCCTCCAGCATGTCTCTAATTGTCATAGGAGGTTTAAATTGGAAGTCGTTGACTTTTTTAATTATTCCTTACAGTTTTGTAGTTTGTGCTACAAATATCAATGCACATTCTGTGGTCTAGTAGAATAATCATGTGTGTGATCATGTTCGTATTCATAGATTTACCATGATTACAGTAGTTGAAGAAAACAGTGTGTTCATTTTCCCCCTCATATCGTATGCAGAAAACGGGCTCAAGATGTAACTGAATGTGTAGAGTTAAGTTGCTTCGTTGAGTGGAGATAGGAAACTGATGAATAATTAACAAGGAATTGCAAAGTTAGCGAACATTTTCCCAAGATCTTCTGTTGTCTCTCTCCTTGGTCGAAGAAGCTTTCTTATTTCTGAAAAGAAGAAATCCCAACGGGCACTGCCTTTACTTTTAGACCTTTCAAGAGTAATTAAGTGTTTGAATTCTATCTTTTCATTCATATATGGTATTTACTGTGGTGCTTGGAAGTGTTAAAGAATCTATCTTTTCATCCCATTGTGCCAAGAACTTGGATAATATTTCCATCTGCGCTTTAAGTTTTCTTGCCTTTAGAGTTTTCTGTGGTGATGTCTGCTTACTGTAGGGAGTGTGGAAGTATCATTGTCTTTTGATCTTAATTTGGTTCTACCATCATCCTGTTCTTTTCTTTCTTCTCTGTGATGTAATTTCAGCTGTAAACACTGCTCCGAATTAAGCTTCTAGTATCTCGTCTTTCCCTTATCAGTTAAGTTGTGTGAATGAGTTCTCCATTTTGCTGTTCTGAACATCCTGTGATCTCATGCTTCCAATTGTTGATTTAGTAGTGTTGTCTGTTGTACAGTCAGAATGCATCCGATACCGATACTGCTAGCAACATGTATTTTCTTTCCTTTAATATTTCCTTTGTATTTCAGCTGTAGTATTGAGTCTTTTCCTTAACGGTTATGTTCTGTTGTATTGGTTCTTCAGTTTGCTGTTCTGGTCATTCTGTTATCTCATTCTTCCAATTGTTGAAATTTCTGACTTAGCTTAAAAGTATTCTAGTCGCTATATTGAGAAGCTTTCTCAGTAGATCTGAATCAGAAGTTGACTGGATTTAATCTTGTGCAGCTTTGAGTTGGGGAGCCATGTTCGAGGAAGACCCAAGGAGCATAATCTCGCATGAGCTCTCGATCTTCGATGAACTCTCCGATTCCAGCAGCACCACCCGCCGCTGCCTTCTCAACCCACCGAACAGCAAGCGTGCTCGATACTCCACTGTCACCAATAATATCTCCACGTCATCCAAGTTCAAAGGTGTGGTACCACAGCAAAATGGCCATTGGGGTTGCCAAATCTACGCCCACCACAAAAGAATCTGGTTAGGCACATTCAAAACCGAGAGCGAAGCAGCCACAGCATATGACAGTGCTGCCCTCAAGCTCCGTGTCGGCAGTGGTGGAGATAGCAGTACTGTGCGGCGGAACTTCCCTTTCAATTCCTTCACTGCCCAAGAACCCGAGTTCCAGACCCACCACACCTTGGAAGCCATCCTCAGCATGATCAAAGATGGGACCTACCAGTCCAAGTTCGCTGAGTTCATCATCTCTCGGGTGGGGACCACCACCGAGCTGACCCTCGACCTCCCCCCTAGGCCGAGAGCAATGTCATGCGGTGATGTCATCTGCAAGCAGTTGTTCCAGAAGGAGCTGACCCCAAGCGATGTGAGCAAGCTGAACAGGCTGGTGATACCAAAGAAGTACGCGGTGAAGTACTTCCCCAGGGTGCCTGATGAGGTTGCAGCGAGTGGCAACGACAAGGTGGGGGAGGAGGACAGTAATCTGGTGCTGAGCTTCTACGACAGGTCGATGAGGACGCCGTGGAAGTTTCGCTACTGTTACTGGAAGAGCAGCCAGAGTTTTGTGTTCACAAGAGGGTGGAATCGGTTCGTGAAGGACAACGGTCTGAAGGCCAACGACACCATCACCTTCTGCTTGTGTGAAAGGCATGGTGGTGGAGAGGCGGGAACCAACGAGACGTTTTTCATGATCGATGTGAGCAACTGTAAGGAGAACGAGAATCCTCCGCCGGGTTCAATGGTCGAGCTGCAGTTAGGCAGTGGGGGGAGATCGAGTAGTAGTGTTCTGTGCGAGGAAACCGACGGGATCAAGAAGCAGGCGAGGGCTGCTGATCATGATGAGAAGAAGGGGATAAAGCTCTTTGGAGTGACAATAGCTTGACATTTTAACACCTTTAATTCTTATAGACTCGAAACTTTCCATTTTACATATGGAGTAGGGTTAATCTGTGGGTTTTGAAGGGACGTTTTTGCTTTTAGTAATTGAGAGGGTTTTAGGCCTGAGTTTTGCTGTGGCCCCAAAATCGAATGTGTAGCAGTAGTAAGAAGTAAAAAAGCTTCTATCTTGCAATGCTGCAATGTTATATGGTTTCATCAGTTGGTTCTCTATGTGGATTCTATACCAATCTGAACTAGATCGATGCGTCGATTTGACTTCGATTGATGTATCGAGAGTCTGTTCGAAGAATATTGAATACCGTTCATGATGTTTGTGATATCATATGTTATCAGTATGGTGTTTGCTTTGTTATTCTTGTTGTTGATAATTAGGGCGATAGTGTTGTTCTTGTTCATCGACAATGGAGATAACTCCAGTTGGACTGGGACTGCAACTAGTTCAGCGAAGACAGATATAGTGAGGCTCGACCTGGCCCAAAATGATTATATGGATCAATGTCTCGAATAAATTGCTATTCGGGCCCACTTTGTGAACTATCCAGAAAAGGGGCGCTCTTTCGGCAAAAAAGCGTTATCCGGGCCCATTGGTGATATCGTCTGTTCCATCTTTAATTGCTTCATTTATAAGGTAGACTCCGTAAATTTAAAAACCTAGGGCGTTAATTAGTACATGGCAATTGGCACATGGTTCTAATATCGTTTTGGTGTCTAAACAAACATTTTGGCTTGGTCCAAGTTGTCGTTTCAACTTTCAGAACTCAGTCGATGATCATGCTTCATGATTCATGACAACCCTTGTTGTTTCTAGGCTTCTAAAACACAACTCAATTTCCTTAAGTGGAGTTACTTGATATGTGATCCTGCACTAACGCGGTAACATTGATTTAAAGAACTCGGATTTTCTCTTCAAATTGAAGAGTGAAATTCGGTTCTCTCGCACACACCGATAGAGTGGTGCGCTTGTATATCTACCTTCTATCGTGTGTTCATGTATTATGTAATTAACATAGATATTAGGGTTAGTAGGGGGTTAGGCGGCTGGTTGTGGCCGAGTAGAATTAGGATTCTTGCTATGATTTTGGGTGTCTTTTACTATAAACATGTATTTTAGGTTTTCATTCATCAATCAAGAAGAATATTAAGAATAATCTCCTAAACCCTAATCTCTTCCTACCCTCTCAGATCTCTTCTAATCCTCCCATAGGCCGTCAGCCAATTCTTTCCTATCTTCCCCAATTCTCTATCTCCAATCCCCAGTTCTTTCTATCGATCCCTAAATATGTTCCTATCTATCTAGTTGCATGAATCACAAGCGCATGAAGAAAGCGTATTTCTTACATATTAATAGTTAAAAACATTTCCATCATCTCCTTCTAATCGCGGATATTGAGCAAGTCAACGACCATGTACATATATGGTGGTTACTTGTATGAACAGGACGACAATCAGATACAATGAACCGCGATTGATCCCACTAACTCAAACCGACTGACACAAACTCGAGTACGAGTGTCATACCAATTGGTTCCCCTTGAACGATGGGGAACAAGGAGCTAGCTAGCAACAATATCAGTTCTTGTTGTTGTTGCAAGGTGAACAATAATTATTGTCGATACACGGGCCAAGCCACAACTTGCAAGGGACATATATGGCCAAAACAGAGAAAGGTGGCAGACCAGAAAGCTCGCAACCAAAGGTGCATTGCTTTCGTTCTTGACGGACACATTGATTCGCGTCAGGCTGTTCTCAGGACCACAGAACCAGGTTTCCATCGATGGCCGTTTGCTGGCCCTTCACCGCCTGCTCTGTTTCCCCATGTGGCTTCCCCTGCTCTCTCTCAACTACCATCACTCAGTCTGCAAATCTCAACCAAAGAAGAAGACAATTTTCTCGCTTCATCTCACACCATTAATCTACTCCCCTCTCTCGTAGTAGATTCCTTGGCTCTAAACAGTTAAGTCACCCTAGAAAAATAGGATTCTAGGTTGCAGAATTTTGCAGATCTTGTTACTGCATGATAAACAGTAAAACACAACAGATAGATGTCGACTGAATCGGGGTCATTTTCATCGTAACAAGAACAATGAATCTTATATCATTCTCTTTACACAAATCATGGAGGCTCTCCATGATCATGACTGAGTTATTATGATAAGTAGAATTGCCTATGTGGTTTCCACTTACCAAGGGGGAAAGCATCTATAGGTAAAAAGTCCCATTCTTTAGAAGAATTGAAAATGGAGATGTCACCCTCTGTACCAGAAAGTCCATACAGACGTATATACCCACCCCAACTTTCCTTGATTCCTTCAACCAAGTCATTCATGGCGATCGAAACCCATCATCATCCAAACAAACATACACAAAAAGCACACACCTTTCACAGTAAAGCTTCAACAAAACCAAACTTTAATGATCAACAATGGCGGAAAAGGTCAATTCCACTTCCACATAACAAATTCTAATTCCCCAATCACAACTTCACAAACTACAATGGATGGTTAAGCGACGGTGGAGTGGTCGACGACGGCGGCAGCGGCAGAGGTCCAGAGGATGTCCTTGAGCGCCGGTCTGAGCTCCTTGGAGCAGAACTGGTTGTACTCCAGAGTATCTCCATTATCCTTCTTCACTTCCACGACGAAGAACGACTGTGTCACGGCGAAGATCTCCGCCTGAATCCCGAGCTTCCCTTTCCTCCCGCTCGCCTGACCTTGCAGCTTCACCTTCGTCTCGCTCTTCTTCACGCTGAATTTCCCTGCTTTCCCGACCTCTTCCAGCCTCGAGATCACGCTGCTGGCGGGGCGAGTCGTGGCGAATCTCAGCTCTTCCTTTTCCATCTTCTTCTTCTCCTCGAACAGCGGCGAGAGGTCGAAACCTTCAGACAGCGAGATGATGTGGAACGCGTTCAGCGTCTCCTTCGATTTCTCCGATTTCGATTCGTCTTCTTCGCAATTGAACGCGTCGAATTCGATCTCCTCCTTGCTGCGTACGGTTTTGGGGATGGATTTTCTGAACCACGACGACTCCATGACCTTCGAGATGGTGATTCGGCTCGCCGGATTGGGGTCGAGGAGCTTGGTGACGAGGCGGCGGGACTCGGAGGAAAACCACGGCGGACATTTGAAGTCACCTCTGTAGATTTTTCTATACATGGCGACCAGATTGTCGTCCTGGAAAGGGAGGAATCCGGCGAGGAGGACGTAGAGGATTACCCCGCAGGACCAGAGATCGGCTCTGGCGCCGTCGTACCCCTTTTTCCCGATGACCTCCGGCGCGACGTACGCCGGAGTTCCGCAGGTGGTGTGGAGGAGCCCGTCCTGCTTCAGATGCTCGGAGAAAGCGCTTAGCCCGAAATCGGTGACCTTAAGGTTGCCCTCCTCGTCGAGGAGGAGGTTTTCTGGTTTCAGATCTCGGTGATAGACGCCGCGGCTGTGGCAGAAATCTATGGCGGAGATCAATTGCTGGAAGTAAACCCTAGCGGCGTCTTCCCTCAGTCGGCCCCTGGCGACCTTGGAGAAGAGCTCGCCGCCGCGGACGAGCTCCATGGCGATGTAGATCTTGGACTTGCTCGCCATCACCTCGTGGAGCTCGACGATGTTCGGGTGCTTAACCATCTTCATCACCGAGATCTCGCGCTGGATCTGGTCCATCATCCCGACCTTGATCACCTTCTCTTTGCCGATGACCTTCATCGCCACGCTCTTGCCGGAGTGGAGGTTGCGCGAGTGGTACACCTTCGCGAAGGTGCCGTGGCCGAGCATCCGGCCGAGCTCGTATTTCCCGTGGAGGAGAGTCGGCTGGCCGTCTCTGTTTCTATCCGCCATTGCTGAGATCTGTGAATTGACTGACTGACTGACTGACTACTCCCGAAGAATTTACAGAATCGAAAAATTGAAAGAACAGAGAGGGTTGGGGGGGAAGGAAGGGAGGGAAACGACTGTAGCGGAATCGGCCGGAGGCCGGGGATCACCCGTCCTCGACGTGTTTCCGGTGGCAATTCCTGCCGCCGATGCACCTCTGGGCGCGGATGCACAGCTCAGGATTTTGCAACGAAGCTCCTACCATCTCTCTGCATTCCCCACGAGAGGAATGACTCTGAGAAAATTAGGGTTTTTTCTTGGGGATTGTTTTTTTCCAGGCGGCGGCGGTGGCGGTGAGTGAGAGATTTTATCAGATTTCCGTTTCCTCTTTTTTATTTTCCTGGTTCTTCGCGGCGGCCGGATCTTTTTATAGAGAAGTAAGGGGAATGGTTTGTGGCGGAATTTACTATAGTGACCTTGTAGACCTTTACTGTACAAATCGTAGGGTTCTGATCTGACGGCGTGGGAAACTTAACGTGATCTGGACGGTTGGGTTTGGTTTTTGTTTTATTCTTTGACACCCGGGACACGTGTGAGGCAATTACTGGCCTTGGTGGGTGTGAATCCGCCCTCTGGTTGCCGTTGGATGTTTACCATGCTACCCCTTTCATCTTCCATTAATTGCACAAATACCTGTGCCTTCTAAACCTAGCCCCGGAAATCGAGCCGGTGATGAATAGTTCCGTATCTTAATTGTTGAATCGTGAAACAGTTACCTTGTAATAAAATCAACTTAAAAATGGAACCAAAACAACCTTTTTAGCGTGTGGTTCGATCACCGTACGTTACTGATACTACTCGTCGTACTCATTAATTTATTGATATGATGGATGTTTCGTGTATGGTAGATGTCTTACATGTATGATGCTTCATCTTTGACTGCACGAATACAAAATTGTACAAACACTCTATTTGAACGACACGAGATTTTCGTATTTCGAAGCTTGGTTTGGGTGGTTCGATTCCTTTCACTCGCAATCTCATTGTTGCTAGCTAACTTGACAATAATTAAAAGAACATATGTACTCCTTAACTGGTCATTACTTCCATGAATCTGGTCGCCTTATGCATCTCTAGAGTCTGATTCTGAGTTTGCTTTTTGAATGGAATGCAAGGATAACTACTGAATAATGTCCTAGTTCGGGAAGAATTTTGGTTGTACATAGTCCTACACAATCACATAAACAAATAGCCGTAACCACAATACAACTATTTCGCATTGCTACATCGAACGACTTACATGATCAAATTAACGTGCCGATAACCTCGTCAATCAAGATCATTCTTTGATTGTTCACTCAATGACACAACACCAAGCGATCATATCCAATTTTCTCTTGTAACACTCAGATGTTACCATTACTAGTACTTAGAGAGTAGCTAGGGTTTGTATTTTATTCTCTAGCTACTTTGTACTATTCTTTTCTCTGTTCTTGTGTACCATCCTCAATAATTCTTCTTGGAAGGACCAAACAAGCAGGGGCCAGCAGCAAGTGTTGAATTTTTTTTCACCCTACGAATGGGTGAAACGGTGACTAATTGAGGTTAAAGATAGTGATAAGCTATATATGATGCGTTTTAAGATAAGAGTAATTGACTTTGTTCGATAGGATACAAAGGTCAGAGATTAGCTACATGGTCCTAGCTAGGGCACTATTATGACTACTCAACGCTTTCATCGGTTGAGTTAGGGTAGTTAAAATTCTATGAAAAAATAGAGTACATGTGATATGGTATTCTAGTATGTTGAGTATGATTGTTTGAGGTTTTTCGTATCCCAGGTCGGTTATAAACGAAGTGTAAGGATGTGCTTACATACGGTTTATAGGGAAAAAAATAGCTATTTTCATCATAATCAAAGTTAGTATTTTGTTGTGATCTTAATGTACGATGAATTCATGCAAAATTCGATTTTGATGGTGGGTTTTCGAGGTGTATCATTTTTCAAGAATCCGCAAGTTAATCGAGGGGCATCGTATAGAACTCATTATTTAACGTATTTTTAACCATCCTTATACATCGAAGTAGCTAGCTCTTCACAATTGGTAGGATATTCAACGACTCGGTTCAATTCCCACCGCACCTTTGATCTGATTATGATCCTCGAATTTCCTTTGCCGGTTCAACCAACTCTATCATGTTCCGACTGAACTATTACACACTAAAAAATGGGGATTGAGGGATCAAACTGTTACTTGATTGATGATATAAAAATAGAATGAAGACTTTAACGGCCACTTTTTCCCCTAGTACTAAATTTAATTAAGTTCTTAATTTAGATAAGAATAGAAGGTACTGAATCTTAAGATAAGGTTACCTTGAACAAATGGTAAAGATAAGATTTGCCAAATACCAACTAATATGTGGCATATATGTGGGTTATTAAGAAGGTGACTTTTTATTATGGTATAAAAGCCAGCAGGAGAGAATAGATTTATAGCCTTATAATTTTTTTTTCCATGATAAGAAGATTTTTTAGATATAATTGTTTGATAAAGAACCCACCTACCAATAATTATCTTCATTGAGGGTACTTATTTTCTTTTGCTTGTTGGGATAATCTTTGGTCAATTATATGTCCACCCACTAGTGATTAATCAATTAGATCAGCTGTAATTTTCAGTTTGATTAAACACAGATTGGTAATGAATTAAGGCATGTATATGAGAATTTGGGTGCATTTAAATTAAGTAAGAATTATTTGAAGTCACGTGGATGATTCAACCGATCGTTTGAGTCAGTTTTGATTATTGATAACATATGTGTTTGCGTAGTGTCAATTATATCTGTAACTAATCGATCGATGCCGTATGCAATTAACTTGTTAGTAAATATTGGCCTTTATAGAAGAACTTCAAGCTTTCTGATTAGCTACTAAATGAATTTTACACTATTCTAACATTCCCTAGTGCTCATGGGATAACCGATGACTGTTGTTTGTGGTTAAGAACATATATGGTCGATTCAATCCAAGTAACTTTTACGCACTTGGAATAAACCCTAAGATCACAATAGCAAAGTCCAAAAGTAAAACCTACTCCAGGTTTACCTTACTCCTTTGAATACCGTTGTTGCTTCGCAATCTTGCTTTTGTAAAAACAACATAGGTATATTAAGCAAATAAGAGCGTACTTAAGAATTGGTACACATATTTAAATACCGTATTTGGTTTACAAGAATAGTAACGAACTGTTGGAAATCTTCAAGCTTATAAGAAATCTGTTAGAATACATGTTATCATGTGTTGTAACATAAGATAAGGTTGGAAATAACATGATCCATACCAAAATGAGACATTGTGAAAACGAGTGAGCAGAAGAGGTGCCTGTCAAACCACCTCGAATGGGAAGAAGAAAGAGTCGTATCATGCATGTGGTAAAATCGGATATGAAAGGTGGGGATCAATGGATTGAATTTGCTTGGGAATTTTTGCCCATATATGATAAGAATAGATAGGGTTTGAGAAAGAAGACAAGCAGAAAGCCAAGTCAAGTGGGCAATAATAATAAAATGCTTAATTGGGTCATTAAATATTTTTTGTTATTTTTGTAACACAAATGGGTAGTACTTCTCAAAGTGATAAGAGACTAGCTAAAAGCAAGTGAAAGGCTAAGAACAAAAAAAAAAAAAAATCATCTCTCTTTCCCCCTAATCACATATATTCTTCCAAATCACCCACGAGATAAAAAACTTTGCTGGCTGAATCACAAATTCGAAAAGAAATAAGGGCATTGATTGATCAGGAGTCGATCCATTGATAAGAGAACAATTCTATGATATTCGTGAGGCGGGAAATGAAACGAGACCGTTTATGAAGTCCTAGATATAGCAAAAGTGCCCATTCTGCTATATCTTGATAGCTCAGATGTCATGACCGTAGGAACGAGCTAGGCCAATTATGAAGGTCCTAACAGAGCCTAGCAAGGACCTCTCTTGGTCGAACTAAGCACCATTCAGAACCCTAACGATTACTATAAGTTATTTTGTAACGCATTTTTAGAGGTCTATGAATTCAACTGAAAAGTTTTGATAAAATGATTTGAGGCATCCATCTAAGGTCCACGACTGCAGGCAGCCGACTAGCCGATCGAGGCCGCAAGTTGCCGCATATGGAGAGGAAAGTTGAAGACTTCTAGCTAGTCTTACTACTGCAGCCACCAGATTTGGATGGACAAATATTTCAAGATACACCACCACACATAATTAAGAGCACTAGCTAGCTATCGTGCTTTTGTCAAGTGGACCACTTGCCTTCTCCAATCTCCATTTCCTAAACCCTCTCGTTTAATTTGCTTTGACGACAAAGTGAAATAAACTGAAATATGCTCTTGCATTTTGGTTTATTTATTCAGGATATGGATGCTAGGGTTTTGTGGTGGATTATTTATGAACGAAACTAAAAGTCCAATGACATCATCATGGTATAGTGATCTGGTGATCGATGGTGTTTTCCACATCTTTTCGACTCTCTCTATAAGTATTTGTAGCTTACGTAACTCGTGTGTTCGAGTTCTCATGACACCGAATATTAACTTCAAACCCACAAATTGACTTTCAATTAAGGGGTCGCGACGTGTAAGAGAGTGGTATACGATCCATAAATAACCATCGTCCATCGATCTCCCATCATGTCACAAATCAACGAGTCCCAATAACTCGATTTGTTAGGAGAGATTCGTATATGAATCTTAATTACCAGTTTCTTACACGCCAGTCTCAAATGAGAGCTAGCTTATGATCGCTTGAGGTTTGTACGTCCATAATATCATCTGCCTCATGCCATAAAACAACTTATCTCATCAGTAACTCGAATTGACGGGAGAGATATAGGTGTCCAATGTCGTATTGCGTCAACGCATGCATGTGTAACAGAAAACCCCTGAGCTAAGTCGGTTGTGGTGGCGGTGTTATCTGCTGTCGAAGAAACAATGGGCTCTGCTGTGTCAATTTGCAGAGTAAAATGCGGCGGCAGAGGGCGGAAGGTGGCAGGAAAAGCCTGCAGCAACAAAAAAATTAAGAGCCCACTGTTCGGTGGGCGGCGGCGGCGGTGGTCGCCATTGGAAAATGGAGGAATCCAATCAAAGCTTTGCCAGAGACCAGAGTAGAAGAAAAATCAGTTAAAAAAAAAAAAACAAATGAATATTTAATAAAATTAAAATAAACTCAGCCGCACAGACAATTACTCGTTTCTGGCGGCCGCCGGTTGGGCTGGCTCGATCGTCGCTCTTTCCTTATTTCTCCACCTGCGTTAATTGAATCTCCTCCACGAATCAAGATTGATGTGATCGTATCAAAGAGTTGGTACGAGTTATTAAAACGAACTGGTTTTTCGATATTGTATTATATCTGCTAGTCATTAACACTTTTTTTTGAATTAATGTTCT